AAACACACTACAAAAATGCTTCTGCTATTCCCATTGCCACGGTAGACTCAAGGCTCCCTCCCTCCCACCCTCCAATGAGGGTTCAGATTCCTCGTGTAAAAGATCATCCCCCTTCAAAACTCCCGATTGCTCCTGCTCTGCTAATTTTTCCCCCTCATAGCACTTCTTATTTGTATATTTATTATCTGTTTTCCCCCACTAGAACAGAAACTCCATGAGGGCAGGGGCTTTATTTCCATTTTATTCACCACTGGTGCTTGAGTTGCCATAACAACGTCTGGCACGCAGTAGCAGCTTGCCATAGATACTCAAATATTGGCTCACGAAAAGAGAAAACCCTGACTGAGTCAACATTCTGAACTTGTCTTACTATTGACTGAAAGGTCTAGTATGCATGTGATAGATGTTCCGAGACACGCCAGGTAGCAGTCTGTCCGAATATCTCATCACCACCCAATTCCAGCTTTTCAGTCTGAAATGATTGACTCCTTGATACCCACTGGCCTACTTCCTCTTAGCTAATGCCTTCATTTAGCTACTGTTTTCCTTGCAACTTCTCATTTTTGATAAAATTCATAATCCGGAATATTTTCAGTTGCAAGTAATCAAAAACTTCAGTGTGGTTTTTAAACAGATTGTTTGTCTCAAGCCATGAGAAGTTTGGGGATAGAGAGATAGTCCAAATCTGGTCCAATGCAGCCTATGGGTTCAGGTTTTTGTAAATTCTCTGAACGTTTGTGTAAGATAGGGATTTCCAAACAATTAGGTGAAAATATTTTCTGTGTTTGATTTGTCTGATGGGGAATAATTTTCTGTATAGTCTTAAGTCTTTTTTTGCAATATGTATTTTTAAATATATATATATATATATACACATACATACACACACACACACACACACACACAAATACACTTAGGGACTAGCAGACAGCATAGCCCTTCCATTGTGTCACTCTCACATAGCCAGTCGTAGTTTGGGTCCCAGACCCAGTGACTTGAAACTCACGTCGGGTCAGTAGTTATATGTCCTTTTTCACTTCTCATATTATTTGTCTTCCTTTTTTTATCTTGGTTTTCTACTTGTATCTGGAATTTGTTCTCTCTTTTAATTTCCCAGAGGGCATGTCCACTCACTGGAGAGAGACAGAGAAAGAAAGCACCCTCCATGGGGCACCAGAGTCCCTTCTCCATTTCTCTCTCCTTTGAGGATTTTGGGCATGCATGCACACGCACCTAGTATGTTTTCTCAAGCTTCCAAGTCTGGGACTCATCCTTGAGTAAACCATTATGTCATCTGCTGGTCCTTTTTTTATTTTCTTAATCTTTTTTTTTTAGTATTTAAAATAGATGCTTGGGAGGATCATCAGATGGCATAATGGTTACATCACTGGACTCCCATGTAGTCAACTGTGGTTTGAGTTCCAGACCCAGAGAATTAAAAGCTCATGCCAGGCGCGTGTGCGTGCGTGCCCAAAATCTTGAGAGGAGAATGACAGAAGGAATTTTGCTGTGGCCATCCCCCCCGGGGGGTGATTTCTCACTTTATGTCTCGCTAGTCTCTCTGGTGAACACACCTGTCCTATAGCAAAAATTTCTCTCTAAAAAGCAAACAAATAAATAAATGAATGCTTGGGGCTAGTAGGTGGTATGATGGTTAAGACACTGGATTCTCACATGGCCAACTGCGGCTCGAGTCCCAGACCTGGCGTCTTGAAATGCACACCGGACACATGTGCGTGCAAGCGTGACCACAATCCCGAGAAGAGAAGGGAAGAGAAGGGATTACGGTGTGACCATTGCCCTGGTGGGTGATTTCTCGCTTTGTCTCTCCAATCCTCTGGTGAGTGCACATCCCTTATAGCAAACATCTCTCAAAAAATAAAATGCTAAAGATGTATTAAAAATTATTCATTTATTTATTTACTTTAGGTTTTTACCTTATAATGCACTCACTGGAGAGAGAGCAAGTGAAATTTGAGCTGCTGGTTCTGGAGCCCAAACCCAACCATGTGGGATCCAGTGCCCCAAACACTATGCTACCTGCTGCCCCCAAAATACTGCTTTAGCTACATCCTAAAAGTTTTAAATATATGGTATTTTATTGTCATTCAGTCCCAAATACTGCAATTTATATTGTAATTTCCTCCTAATGAGTTACTTAGGAAAACATTTAAAAAGTTTTCAAAGGAGAAGTTTGTAAAAATGATCTCTTTTTGGTTGAATTCTAATTCATTTGCATTGCATTGTCAAAAATAAGGTGTGTGTGGGAGGGAGACCAGCAGTTAGCATAATGGCTGTGTCGCTGGACTCCCATGTAGTTGACCGGGGTTTGCGTCCCAGACCTGGTGGCTTAAACTCACGCTGGGCGCGTGTGCTTGTGTGCCCAGGATCCCGAGAAGAGAATGGAGGAGAGGGGATTGTGGTGTGGCCATTCCCCCTGGGGGGTGATTTCTCACTTTCTATCTCTCTGTCTGCCTCTGTCTTTCTGGCGAGCGCATGTGCCCTAGAGCAAAAACCTCTCCAAAAAAAGAAGAAAAAAAAAAAGTCAGGGCATGGCCTCCTAGCACTGTGGTTAAGTGCTGTGAATTGGGAGCCAGAACCCACATGGCCAACCACAGTTTGAATCTCAACCTGGTAGCCTGGGAAAAAAACATACCAGGCGCATGTGCATGCATACCCCAAATCCTGACAGGATGGATAAATGGAGGAAAAAGAATTACAGCATGACTATCCACCACTGAGGCTGATTATTGTGCACACGCTCTCTCTCTGGCAAGTTCACGTACATCCTTTGGCATAAAAATAAAGTTTAAAAAGTTTTTTAAAGTTTATTGTGCATATAGAAGAACAGTTCACTAAACTGGGAGACTTCATGTGGTAAGCGTCACTCACAGCTGTTAAAGCTCAGTTTGCAAAACAAAGAAAAAAGATTTTAACCTTTTTATGGCTTTCAGTTACATGTTAACATTCTTTTTAAGGCAAACAAAACTGTTTAAACTATTTATTATTTGTCTATAACTCATTGGTTTAATTTCATGGAATTATACTACCAGGACATAAAGCTTACATTTTGTGTTTTGTTTATAATTAGAGCTAGTATTTCAGGGAAATCATGATGACTTGTTTTGACTATGTGGTTATGGGCAGCTGGCCTTGCGGTACATCTAAACTATGGCTTCCAGTTTGCTTTTTCTTTAACAGTCTTACCCTCCCCCGCCTTTTGATCATTTTCCCAGGTGAACTGAGAGTATGACCAACTTGGTGACTGTTCATCCCCACATGTCGTTTTCTTTTCTGTAGACATCCACACTTTGCAAACTGGTTTCTACTGTTGAATCTTGTTTCTGTAGCTCTTATTCAATCTTTGCAGAGATCATTTGTCAAATGAGTGGCGCTGACAAGCATTCAAGACTCTTGAGAGATTGCAGTGCACAAAGGAGATTATCAATATGACTAATAAGAAGATAATACGAAGGACTTGAAAAATAATCTAAAACCAACGTCCCCAAGAGCCAAGCTTTAATCACTGAAATAGATCAGTAGATTGTGCTTCCCTGATCTGGTAGAATATCTGGACCTGATCTTTTAGATTTCTGAAGTTTGGGGGTCTAATTCCTGACTTACTGACATGCAAATAGCATGTTTTTTTTTTCCATTATGGCTGTTTCAATCTCCTAGAATTTCCTGGTTTGCAGTTTGACCATCTCTGATGATTTCAGATGTTCCAGTGAACTTTCTGCATGGCCCACAAAACAACAGGCATGAAGGTTGTCCATATATAAACTGTGATTGCTCTCAAGTTTGTATCAACCAATCTAACTTCACTTGTGAGGCTGTAGTACTAAGAGCAATGCTGTTTCAGTTATCAGGAATTGTTACTCATTAGTCTTTTCCATGAATCTCTTGTAATTTTGTATCATAGCTGCTTACAGAAACTTTCAGGAGAGGAACCAGCAGTTAGCGTAATGGCTATGTCGCTGAACTCCCATGTAGTCTACTGCAATTCATGTCCCGGACCTGGTGGCTTAAAACTCACACCGGGCGCGTGTGCGTGCGTGCCCAAGATCCCGAGAGGAGAATGGAGGAGAAGGGATTGCCGTGTGGCCATTCCCCCTGGGGGGGGATTTCTCGCTTTCTGTCTCTCTGTCTCTCTCTGTCTGTCTGGCAAGCCAAAAAGCCCTATAGCAAAAACCTCTCAAAAAAAAAAAAAAACTTTCAGGAGAGCATCAAACAATAACCCTGTATGGAAACTTACTTAAAATGATCAATAATTCATTTTAATGCAATGAAGAAGAAAATGTGATTATTTCTGTGATGTATAACATTTTAAGATAATAACTAAGGGCCAGCAGATGGTATGGTGGGTAAGGTACTAGACTCCCACATGGCTGACTGCAGTTGGAGTCCCAGGCTTCAAGCTTGCTTTCTCACTTTTTCTTTCTCTTTCTGGTGAGCATGTGTGCTTACCTATAGCAAATTAAATAATAATAAATAAAATAAATACTTTTTTTTTTCAAGATTTTTCCTGTAGGGTGTGTGCACTTGCCAGAGAGCCAGAGAGAGAGCCAGAGAGACAGAATATGAGAAATCACCTCCCAGGGGGCTGGCCATGCCAGAATCCCTTATTCTCCATTTTATCTATCAGAATTTTGGGCACACACATACATGCACCTGGCATGAGTTTTAAGCCACGGGGTCCAGAACTCGAACAGTGGTCGACCATATCGGAGTCCAGTGACATAACCATTATGCCATCTGCTGGTCCCAATAAATAATTCTTTAAAAAATGATAATAACTAGAATTAAAACTGACTATATGGACAATAAAAACATGGATGCATTTTTAGGAATTTCATACAATTTCAGGAACACATAATATTACATATACCTACATAAATATAACATAAGGAAAGCTTAGTATTACTTTTTATTTGATAGTGTAGTCCATGTAATTTAACTTACCAAATAAGTTTAATTAGTTTGATCTCTCTTTTTTTAAGGAGAACAAGTTTTGAGAATTTTCAGGGGCTCTCTGGAAAAATCACAAGGTTAGTTTGAGGTAAGAAATAATTTATTTAGGGGGGCAAGCAGGTGGTATGGTGGTTACAGTGCTGGACACTCCCACATGGCCGACCAGGGTTCGAGTCCTGAATCTGGCGACTTGCTTTCTTACTTCCTCTCTCTCTCGCTCTCACCCTCTGTCTCTCTCTGGTCAAATTTAAAAAGAAATGAATGTGGGAACCAGCAGTTAGCTTAATGGCTATGTCACTGGACTCCCACATAGTTGACCGCAGTTCGCGTCCCGGACCTGGTGGCTTAGAACTCACGCCGGGCACGTGTGCGTGCGTGCCCAAGATCCCAAGAGGAGAATGGAGGAGAAGGGATTGCCGTGTGACCATTCCCCCTGGGGGGTGATTTCTTGCTTTCTGTCTCTATGTCTCTCTCTGTCTGGCGAGCGCACGCGCCCTATAGCGGAAACCTCTCCAAAAAAACAATAATAATAAAAGAATGAATAAATAAAATAAAAATTAATAATTAAAAAAGAAAAATAATTTATTTAGAATTAGATTCGGGAAGTTTGTGAAAAATATGAAATGGTTTAAAACATTTGGTTAAATAGGACATAAGTCACAGTGAAACAATACTGTTACCCATTAAGACGCCAAAGGAAATTACAAAAAACTTCATACTTGTAAAAAAAGAAATAAGCCTTAGATCTTTTAATAGAGAAGACTCAATAAAGACAATGTGAAGCACAGGGGATTATTTTGATAAAACATAGAATCTTTGTTTCCTAGACAAATTATTTTAAAGGTAAAATTAAAAACAAAACTTTATAATCCCTTATCAGAAGCAGACCAATAACCCAAGAAAACTTTGTCATCTTAACAGAGAAGGTAAAAATTCTAGTTTTGTATCATGTACTTTTGATATTGAGCTTATTTTTAAAAACCTTTATGGTAAATTCATTCCATTTTCGCTAGCTTAGTTATGTAAGATTTCTTATCTCACTTTTTTTTTCTCTCTTCCCTACTTTATATGTTCATCTAGGTTTTGTCCTATTCTTTTCTTCTTTTTCCTTCTGGAATAACCAGTTATTTTGTTTTAGGACAAAAAATATTCTATGTTTTTCTTGAACAAAACCATGTTCTTCATACCTCATATACTTTTCTTTATTAAAATCATATTCTATTTAATTTGCATGCTTTTAAATGATTATTTTGGCGAGATTTTTGCTCTGGAGCATGTGTGCTTGTCAGAGAAACAGAGTCAGAGAGACACAGAAAACAAGAAATCATCTCCCAGTGGGGATGGCCACACTACAGTCCCCTCTCCTCTCAGGATTTTGGGCATGCACACACATGTGCCCAGCATGAGTTTCAAGCCGCCCTCTGGGACCTGAACTGCAGTCAACTACATGGGAGTCTAGTGATGTAACCGTTATGCCATCTGCTGACCCCTTAATGATATATTTTTCATGTCAGTTGGTGTTTACACATACATGAGGCAGAAAGAGAAGGATTCCACCCTGGGGCCTGGTCAAGTCACTATCCTTTTCCCTCCAATTCTTCATCCATCAAGATCCTGGCCACACGTACACATGCCTTGCATGTTTTTCAAGCTGCCAGGGCTGAGACGTAGTGTTGGCCATGTGGGATCCAGCTCCCTCTGCACAGCGCTTAACTACTGCACTACGGGACTGCCCCTCTTTGCATACTTTTTATATACAGTTGTTTTTATTCATCTTTTAATTTTAAGTAATTAAATTACATATATTGATTTAATATCAGCACCATTTCTTTTTCATGGAGGAAATGAAGAAGTGCATACTTATGAACTGTTTGTCAACATTTATTATGAGCAGATTAATAAATCTTATAAATATTGGGTCATTGGAAAAGTCATGATATGTTTTTTTTTATGCAAAAGTGCAACATTACTTTTCTGACAACCCAATATATCACATTTTTATAGATGTAAGCTTCCTCTTAGTATAAATTCTCATTGTGGCAAAATAATGTATGAGCATATTCAAATATCTTTAGTAATTTAGTAAGTTGTAAGGGAGACAAAGTTTTATCTCTATCCTCTTGGGATTTTCGACTGGGTCTGAGAGTAGATATCAGACAAATTAACAGGAGAAAAACATACAAATGTATTTAATATTTTTATATGACATAGGAACCATTCTAAGAAAAAGAAAATCCAAATACATAGTTAGAACTGAATTGGACAAAGAATAGTAAATTACGAAACTGCAACAAGGCAAAGGGCCTTAAACTAGGGTTGCTATTAACGGGTTGTAAAAATGACTAAGGAGATTAGGGTTAGTTTACAAGATTGGGTTGTAAGATTTTCTTCAGTGTCAATTTTCAATCCTTGATGATAATGAATGTACTTTTCTTCTGGTTTAGGGCAGACTTTTTTTTCCCCCCAAAATGTGTTCATTGGGATGGTTTTCCACTCATCTTGAGTCAGGATGCTTCTAGTGCTGCTTCCTCCTGAAGGAACATCTTTCTGTAAGCTTTGCTTTTCCTCCTGTAGGCTGGCAGAAGACAATGGAGCAGCCAACACACAAAACTACCATTTGTGCATGGCAAAAGACTGTGGTGATTTCATAGCATCCTGGGCACTTCACATCCATGAAGTAGGAATTGGGCTCTGCACCAGGTGCCTCTTCTTGTGTTTGCTCTTCTCTTTTGGAGAGGGATGAAGGAGGTCCCTTGTGAGAGGCATGTTCTCGTGGGGAGGTCATCACTGCCAGTAAGCAGGGCAGACATCTTTAGATGGGAGTTCTCTCTCCTGCTTTTAAGAAAAAGATAGGTATTTTGTTGTTGTTTGCACCTGCTCTTTTTTAAGTGCTCATAACTCAAAATTGCCATTATGTCAGAGTTGCATCTTTTGGGGTAGCCTGTCCTGAATGCCTTCAAAGCCAAAGGTGAATAAATAGGTCCAGCAATTAATGTTTCAATATTTTATCTTATTTGAAAATTATCTAGATATTCAGTGAATAATCATTTAGTTTAACTTAGTATCACTTTAAGCATGCAAGTTACCAAAGAGATTTTTTTTTTAATTTATTCATTCTCTACATTAATTCACTATACACCATCACAACACACAAATGAATTTTCCATCCAAAATACACTGTGCATTGGCTCAATCAAGCACATCAACATACATGTTCTAAGCAAATAATTTTCCAATTCTTGTGTCCTACATACCTTGCCTTTTGTTTTGCCATCCCTGATTCCCTATCCCCCACCCTCTGCCATGTCCCATCCTCCTCCCACATTGTCCCTGGCATCCATGGTTGCCCTCCATGCCTCCCTCCCCCTATTCAATTGTTCTGCCAATGAACTTAATTAGTCTAAATATATCCAATAGCTAGCACAGCTGACACATACCTATACATGAACCCAAGTCTGACTTTAGGCATAAACCCCAGTGAGTAGAATGAACATACTATAAAGTAGTACCCAGCTGTGCCCATACAGCTCGCTGCAGTCGTCAAATATGCATTTTTTT